ATAGCTTTAGGAGTTAGAAATCATGTCAACCAAGCAACAAACCTCGGCTCCCGCTTTTCTTTCTTCTTGGCAACCCTGTGACCCCCGAGGCATTTATCTGCAAATAGCAGCAACCCCAGTGGATCTGTTGAAACCAAGATAAGAAGGGGGGAAAGAGAGAGTCAAACTATTTTCCTTAATCCTTTTGTACTTAAAGAAAGGTTTTTCATTTAAATTCAGTTTAAGGTCAGAGCTGAGAACCATGCTGTTTTTTCTTTCTCTCTCTCTCTCTGTTTCCTCCTACCCCAACGGCTAGACTCCTATTTAGTCATATTTTAATACAGGAATGTTGTGTTGCTATGTAAACCAGGCATGCACACCTTGTGACCCGCTAAACCAAATGCGGCCCATCCACCATAAATGGTACCTCCCTGGAGGCTGGAGGAAACTTCTGTTTTTTGTTGTTGCTTGAGAATGCAAAAAGCAAAACAAAGATGGGGAGGGATTATTATGCTTCAGGCAAATTACAACACAGCTACGGTGGGCTGGGTTGGTCAAAGCGCAGGCCATGTGCCATTCGATGTAAACAGTGGCATTTCTAAGAGAGAAAAGGTGTGGTAACAAGGATTTTTCCCACTGTTTTTTCCGCTGGGCAGCTGGGAATCTCTCTCTCTCTCTCTCTCTCTCTCTCTCTCTCTCTCTCTCTCTCTCTCTCTCTCTCTCTCTCTCTCTCTCTCTCTCTCTCTCTCTCTCTCTCTCTCTCTCTCTCTCTCTGGGGAAGTCACAGCATGGCAGGATTTGGGGAATTATGAGAACAAAAAAAATTAGCACATACTAAAAATTAGTATGTGCTGAAATTGTGAGGAGTCAAGTGCAAACATGTATAGTCATAGAACTGTGATTCATAAAATGATGTTATTGTTTGTGTACTCATTGTGACTGTTGGGCTATTTGCATCGTCGAGAAGAACTTAAGAGGCCAAAAATATAACACAACAGAACCAAATAAAATTGGGAATACTGATGGTTAGATGTTGCCACGATCTTGATGGCAGTGTAACCAAGTATGAAGGCATCTGTGTTTATCCCAAGTAATCTTGATGGCAGTGTAACCAAGAAAGGAGAGTATGAAGGCATCTGTGTTTATCCCAAGTATGGGATCCACCCCTGGAACAGAGCAAGAGAATGACACAAAGAAGCCCAGCCTACAGATTAAATCCTAATTGAAATCTAGCCCATAGAGGCCTCTGGATCACCCTTCCCCGAAGCCATATCCCTCCCCAAGGCCTGATCCACAAAGCTGGCTACTCTCATTTGGTGCCAACAAGTGACAGCTGAGTTCAGAATAATCCACTCCTTCCCTCACTTCTCAGTGTGGGAATTCTGGGTATGCCTCAATGGCAGCTTAAACCTACACACCAAGCGCACATCACTGCTGCCCACTGTTAGGACTTATGGGGAGGTCTCCAGTTTTGTAGAGGAGACCTAACAGAGGGCACTATGGCAGGGGTCACTTAAGCCTGACGGGGACCCCGGTTCACTTTCTCCGATCCCCGAATATTCACAAAGTACCACTACAAGGTCCTCTCAACAATTGCTGATATATTGGCTGAAATCCTGTTGCTTGGTTCAGTTAATTGCAGCAATATAATATGCACACATACATGTGAACACATTTCTATAATGTAGAAAACACAGCTGGTATGTTGCTTACTGTACTATAGAATTCCTGCTGCTCACACTTTCTGGGAAGTGTGTCTCTTAAGAGATCAACACAGAGTATGCTCAAGTATCTGGAGTGCAATTTTGTTTCTCCATTATTAAAAATGATACGGTTCTCTTGCATGTCCCTTGGGTAACCTCTCAAGATAGATTTAATTATTCCTCATTCTTATCTAGAGTACAGCGTGATATTATTAGTGATGGGCAAACTCCCAGTGGCCCGATTCAAAATGGGCTTGGGTAAAATTATATATTCTCAAAATTGCTGGATAAATTATAGAAAGTAAATCACTGAATTGGGCCCCCATTGTAGTCTTGGCAATATTATCGGTAGGATCAGCTGAGTTTTAGCTAAATTTTAGACATGCCACCAGGTGCCTGTTCAAGTTCCCCCAGACTCCAAATTTCCATTTTGTCAAAAGAATAAGTCTCTAGCTCTTACGAAGACACAGGTATAATGCAAAACATTTACGTAGTCTCTCTTTTAGCTGATTGTTTTGAGAAAAATGAGGATTTCAACATGATTAGCCAACGAATGAAACCATTTGCAATTTGTCAGGATCTTGCAGCTTTATAAACTGAGACACATCTTCCCCCAATTCATGGGTGCATATTGCCACAAAGCCTGGCCATAGTTAGTTTGCATGCAGCTGAAATATGTCTGCAAGCAGTGCATAGAATGTAGTGAAGTCATAGGAATGAATGCTGGTTGGGAGATTATGGTTTTCCAAGCTATGATGTTACACATTTTACTGGAATTTCAGAAAAATCAAGTTGCTTTACATTTCCCCAAGCTTTTGTGAACTTATCTGGGAGCTGAGCTAGGTGCTTCATAGGGAGAGGGAAATATTGGGAAATAAAGAGGAGGATGACAATAAACTATGACAATAAACTTTGCATAAGAGTATTATTGCTAATAGTAGGCTTACTGAGTTTACATTTGTTGTGGGTCTTACATTTCTTGAAAGAGGTTTCAGACAGTGGCAAGGAAATGACAGTGCCTTTTTTGAAGAACTCATTCTATATGTATTTGTCTTGGGAGTATGATGAGGTTCTTTGAACTGTGCACTTGGATATATGTACTACTGCTAAGTGGGTTTTACACCTGACTGCATGTGTATAGACAACCGATATATTTCTATTCAGTAGATAGCAGAGAAAGGCAAAGTTACTTCCTTGAAGGACAGTTCCCACAATCCACCAGTGAAGAACGCATGAACATTGGAAACAAATTAAAAGCAGGCTTTTTTCTAATTTGCCAATATCATGAAGGGGCATATGAAGACAGTCACTTCACAATACTGGCAAATTAAATGCTTCCTTGGCTCTGTGAAGGGGTTAAGAAAGGGTAAAACCAAATGTTTAGGTGTGTATGAGAGCTGCATCACTTGAGGAAAAAAAAGCATTCGGTATTGTATTACAAATTAGATATGCATATTAAGATTGCACCAAATGGCATGACAGACTTTCTAGAAACCATGTTTAGCCCACTCCAGCCCGCTCCAATTGCCACATGTAGACAAGCCCTATGTTCACTTTAATAGGCTCCTTGTGAGATAGTAGACATGGTGGTGGGGACATGGAGAGGAGAAAAGGGGAGCCTTCAACTGGATCTTATCAAGGAGCAAAAACTTACTGTAAATCAGCCCTTCTGTACATCCCAAAGGTCCAGTGTGGATCACTTTCCTTTTGAGTGAGGTGATATGTAGCTGCAGCCCACGTCTTACAGTAGCATAGAGTTTGACAGCAGTGGTACTGGGAGTAAAATTTCCAATTGCTGTTCCTTCTCTCTTATGTAGAGACAGAATAAAAATACTTGCTGGGTGTGTCTTTTAGCTAGTTCTGGACAATGCACTTTAAGAAGGATGGCCATAAACTGGAGCAGGTTCAGAAGAGGTCAACAAGGATGATGAGGGGGCTGGAAACCAAGCCCTGTGAGGAAAGACAAAAAGAACTGGGCAAGTTTAGCCTTGAGAAAAGAAGACTGGGATGAGATATGAGAGCCCTTTTCAAATACTTGAAAGGTATTCAGAAAGAGGGGGGGCAGGATCTGTTCTTGATCACTCCAAAGTGCAGGACACATAATAATGGTCTGAAGCTACAGGAGACCAGGCTGAATATCATGAGAAATGTCTTAACTATTAGAGCAGTACGACAATGGAACCAATTACCTTAGGAGATAGTAAGTGCTCCAAAAGTGGAGTTATTCAAGAAGCTTGATAACCATGTGTTATATCTGCTTTAATTTGGATTCCTGCATTGGCCAGGAGGTTGGACTCAATGGCCTTATAAGTCTCCTCCAACTAAAGTATTATTTGATTCTAAGATTCTATTTGCAGAGAGCACAAAACGATGGGGTTTCAAGATTTATCTCATGGCATTTCCACATCTCTGGAATGAGGCTAATGTTTTTCATGGTTGTGAACTACCTGTGCGCTTTTGCCTTAAATATTGTCTGGCTTACAGACCTCCTTTCTTCCATTTGAATTGTGGAATAGGAGGCCTACTTCAGGTTTATATTTAGACTTCTGCAAGGCAGCAGCACATAATGAAATAATGTACCACTTCCTGACATAAATGCTAGTTAGCAAAGCCTGTGTGTTGCCTGAATCCAGCCATTAAGTTTTGAGAGACAACACAGCCGAGGGCTTAGGTTAGGAGAAATTCAATCCTTCCCTTACTGCCCCCCAAATCTCAGCAAAGTTCTTTGCATGTGCTTTGGATTTTCAGCCAGTCACTCAGAAATCCTTTGAGCTTTAAGAAAGGGCAAAGTTGAAATCCAGATCTGAACCTTGCACGCTTTCGCAGCATCCCTAATACGAACCCATTACCTGGATTACCGTTCTTCATGATCACTGGAGCTGTGCAATGGGCACGGCTTAATTATTATGCCGGGCTTGCTCAGTGCCCTTCTTTAAGCCTCCACTTCAACATTAATCTTGCAGCTCTCCGAGTGTTCTTAATGATAAGGGAGGGTGAACCTTGCATTAGCACAAGCTTCTGTAAATCGCAATCAATTGCAACCTGAAGGAGACACTTATAATCCTCTCTGGTAAGAATTAAAGCTGTTCACTATACCCTACCAATATGGTGGCATAGCATGTGGTCCAGATGGGCAAAGCAGCTAACTGGGGAATCAGCACATATGATTAGGATTTAGCAGAGTAAGAAGTGGGCAGGGGACAGTGAAGGGCAGCGGCAACGATATTGCCATGCATTGGATGAAAAGTCACGCTGAATGTCTCAGTCATCCTTACCTTCTCCCCCCCCCCCCTTT